GTTTGGGTATCCCAGGAAGTGATGACATCACATTACTAAAATAAGCAGCCAATCAGAAAGATGCGTCATTTCTAAGATTAACGGCCTGTCCTTACCCCTACCCCTACCCCAAGCCCAAGCCCTCAATTCTGCTCTGTCTCATGACATAGTGGTCGCTCGTTACGGAAGTCCTCTAGACTAATACCACTGGCTGTATCTGACTTGCCTAGAAACATAGGCTAGAGTAGAGTCGGGTAACTTCACCACCCTCAGTTGGCTCGCGACGAAACAAGCCTACACCTCCTCTAGGCTCAATTCAATGTAAATTATTCCAGTGAGTTTCGTCTGGAACTTTTCGTAGCCAATGAACATGCAGAAAGCCCACTGATTGGTTTGCTTGCTAATCGTACTTTATCTGCTTCGTTCGTTTTTCAAGTGGATATGGTGACGGGGAACTTCGCCACCATATCGGGGAAATTCGCCAGTCCTTGAGGGGAAATTCGCCATACTGGGAGATCATCTTATTTCTTTATATATATGTAGATTATTAAACACATGTAAAAACTTATCTTTCGTTAAAGGGAAAACTGCATTTGCAGCTGCAATCACTTTGTCAACAATTTTATTTCTCTCTCTCCCAGCCCTCATTCCAAAAGTAGATAGACTAGAGACATGGTTGGCAAGAGAGGTTTTTTGGGAACGCTAGATCTAGATCTAAATTCTCAGGCTGCCCCAGAGCAGCTTTGCCCACCTTAAACTGCTTCAACGGCTTTCTCCAAATCACTTTATAAAGTTTTTAAACAGGGAATCTATCTCATCTCGTTGAATCCGAGTTCTCGTTGAATCAGAGCTCGTTGAATCCGAGTTCAACTGTATTTTGGATGCTCAGGCAGATTCAAAGTTGAAGAGATAGATATATATAATTTCATAATGATGGGACCAGAGTCCGGTTTAGTTAGATAGCCTAGATATTATTAAAATTATATTTTCAATGCCTGCAGAAGTGCTTAAAATTCTACTATGTATAACTGACACAATGTACTTTGAATTTGGACATTCATTACAGTCCAATAGAGTCAGTTTTGTAATTCTTAGGCCGGCTCTAGATCTATTTCTCCGAACGCTCGGGAAAATAAACTTGAACTCTATTTCTCCAAATGGACTCCGTTCTCAAGGTGTATTTTTGCGAATGAAGTGGCCTGTGTGTGTGTATGATGTGTGTGTGTGTAAGGTGTCAAGTGGGGAGGGGGGGAGGGCGTGGGGGCATTTAGGGATTTTTGGGTGATTTGGATCTAGTTTTTGCTTTAGGAGTTTAGGGGTGACGACTATTTAATGCAAAAATAGGTACTGCCAAAGTCGAGCAGTCTTGTTTTTTCTCGCAGTACCTTTTGATTTGAAGGCATTTTCAAATGAAGTATCATGTATAGTCCGGGAACGTTGCCCCAACCACAATTGAAGCATCTGAATAGGAAGAGGCTAACCGTACACTTAATGATGGCACTGCTGGACTGGCAGTGGCAGGCTAGCCAATGGCTGACTTGTAAAAGTTTGCAATACACCTAACCTAAAGTATTTTATTTCAAACGAAACCAAAAGGTGACTAACTGACATGCATAGTATTTATTAAACCTGATTCATAAAATTAAACTTGTATCTAATGAGACCTGTGTACTCAACAGGTTTTGGTCAATAGGGCCTCACCTAGATCTAAGTACGGCTAGATTGACTTACACTCTCACAAAAATAACCCAAAAATCTCAAGAACAGAAACCGTTAGGAGAAATAGAGGTCAAGTTTATTTTCCCAAGCATTCCGAAATAGTCACTTCGTGTGAAGCTTAATAATTAATGTTTTAGTTAAAAGAGTAAGAGTGTAAATTTAGTCTCTATAGTGTAGGCCTAAATAAGGGACTCAAAGATTTTAAATAATTAAATACATATGACACAAAGATCTTTATCTGTTGTGTGATATGGTAATTTCTCTGGTGAGATGTCTTATTATGAAAATATTTTCCACTTCTATAGAGAGAAGCCAAAACGCCTCTTTGAGGTCTTTGTCGAAATTGCCAAGCCAGAAGGAGAAAATGAAGGTAATATGTCTGTCTACCTTTACTCTACTCTTAAATTGATTCCTTCCCTATTTTCTCTTACTTCACTCTGAGTCGAGGTCTGTCGCTCACTGTTCCTTCTTTCCAAGTCATTTGAGACATCATGGTGAAATAAGGCGCTCATCAAAGTAATTAAATCAAAGTAACCAGCATTTTTCTGTCCATTGGGCAATTTTTAAAAAGTTTTTCTTTTTTTGGCTTAGTTCAACACCTTACCTTTCCATTTAAAAACACATTCTGTGTGGATTTTACTGAACAGCGTTGATCAACAACACAAACAAATGTAACTTCGCAGTTTCCAAGAACACTCAATGTTTGGAATCACTCAACTTGGGCGGCCAATTAATCGCTAGTTTTACCCCTGACACCAGGTCAGGCGACTGCCACCTCCTTCAATTGCAAAATATCTCAAGTTACATTGCAGAAAGATGGGTATTTTCTTCACCAAAAGCAAGACAAACAATCTTTAAGATGATACCAATCACTCTATGCCCAAAAATTGATGAACAGTTGATTCCGCCGCATTGTAACACATATTTTTTTGTCTTTTTTCTCCTCCTGTCCTCTTTGATACAGAGTCTTTTCTGTCCTTTTCTTACTGTGGTTGTTGTGTTGTAATTCTCTCTCTCTCTCTCTCTCTCTCTCTCTCTCTCTCTGTCTCTCTCTCTCTCTGTCTCTCTCTCTCTCTGTTTCTCTCTCTCTCTTCTACTCTGTCATTTTGTTTTTCAACTAGTTATTGTGTCCATCTCCTTCCTTTTTTGTCCACAAGTTGTATAGTGGTTGATTATGATTTTGGACAGTGTTTTGGTTAGTATGTGGTAGCTTGACACTGCATGTTGAAGTTGTATGGAGGATAGTTGTATTTCTTTCATGATTTCCTCCCAGACTAACTGTATGATTGTGTGGAAAACCTCTCTGGTCTTGCCATTTTTAAATTACACATAGATACTGAAGAGATTCTGAGAAATTCTCAAACTGTCTTATTCACCCCTTTTTTTTTCCCAGCTCCTTTCATTATTCAGCAATACCCATCAGATTATGATGACAAGGTGAGATGTTTGTATAAATTTCTGTTTTGTCTAGGGAGCTTTTTTATCTTTGAGAAAGCTTTGAAGCATAAAAGGAATGTGAATGAAATCTCTCTATCTGATAAACTCACTAAATTTAGTCAAGAATATTTTGTGCACTTTATTTTGAAACTGACATTTTTTTCATATTAACTGTGAAGCTGATTATTTTTAAAATTTTTTTTCGTCTGTTTATGATGTTTAAGAAAAATTATTTTAGCTGGGATAAATCAATTTGATGTCCTTCACTGCTGGTGCTTTTTCTCTTGTTTGATGGGTAAAGCTATTTCTTTTTTGGTTTAGGCAGAACGCTTGAAAGATATGATTTGTGAGCTTTCATTTTTTTCTCAAGAGTTTTTGTACATAATTGTGTTAAGGTTTTGATATGTTTTTTGTTCTTTTATCATCACCTTGGTGTAGTCAACATGTTTTATCTGTTGGATGACGAAGAGGGCAAGTAGCTGATTCGCCATATAATTATTTATTAGGTATAAACTTATGTTTTTTCTGAGGATTTTTTCATTTTCATGTGAAACTCTTTAACCTCTGAGTTTTGTTCTTTTCTCTGTGCAGGAGGCACTTGTGATGATCCCGAAATTTGCATACCCTTGCAACACAGACTCGTGAGTTGCATTTTATTTTATCTTTTGTCATTTTATCCAGGTTGTTGTCTTAAATTGAGATATATTTAAAGATATCTTGTCAGGGCCTCTCGTGGTCTAGAGGTATGGTGTTCACCTCTCAGTCAAGAGGTTCTGAAATCGAAAACTGACGGCAATAAAAAACTTTTTTTCTCTAAAATCTCTCTGCTCCTCTTTCCTTTACCTCCAAGTCTTTCAAATGCTACTTGTGGCTCCTTACTCCTGTCTTTCAGCCTCACCCTTGATCTTAAGTAAGGTGGGTAAAATCAAAGACCTAGCCTTCTTGAATAAAGTCGATTCGTTTCTGATGCCCCCGTTTGCATGTTGTATATATTAATTAAGAGACCTTGGTGGTCCTAGAATTGATTGGAGTTGGTTTCAGCCTTCACCTGAGAAAAATTCAGAATTAATTCATACCAAAACTGAAAAAGCTCTGGTCAGTTTAAAAAACAATGAGTGCCTTCAAAGTTGGAATTTGTGGCTTCCTGGGGGCAAAGGGCCTTACATTGTAGGAAAAACAGCCACCTATGATGTAAAAGAGTTCTGAGGTCAATAACCATGTGCCTCATTGGTGTTGCACTAGTTGAATTTCTGTTCAGTTGTATACTTGAATTATTTCATTCTGTTAACTCTAAGTAATGAAATCAACACATAAATGTGACAGGTTCCATCTCTGCCCTGATGATAGAAAGAGACCTTTAGAAGACGATTGTAGGGAACTGAACTTGAAAACGGATGTCATTCAAACCTCAGAAGTGCACTTTAAAAAGGGCTGTTATGGTGCGGAATGTGATCCTAAATAATAAGTGTCCGTTTTTCGGTTCATGTACCTAGGTCTCAAGTGGATCACTTCACCTTTGTGCTGACAGATCTGGATAGTCTGTTCCGCTTCGGCTACTGTCGTCATGCCACCGGTCATCAGACCTGTCTATGTATACTCAGGTAGGGATGCTTTACCTCACAGGACTGAAGGAAAGGATTTATTATAATAGAATAAAATCTTAGTATAAATTTTTATGAATTACTATAATGTTTTTTTGTCAGTTGACCTATCTTGGTATGGCTCTTGGCACTGTCTATATGGCAACTAACACAAATATGAACACATCCTCGGGCATGTGCATGCTCACAGGAACATGTACCTCTCTCTGGCTGCCCTCGCCTGCAAGTGATCTATTATAAATTGAGTTCAAATGTTTTAGAAAAAAGCTGCAAAATTGTCTCTCAAATGACAAATGCCAAGCCTCTTTGCAGTTGTGGAATTCTTTAATTATATTGTATGTATACATTCTTTTAAAGAAAAAGATGAATTTTGTCTTTGTGAGATGAATATTTAAAAAAGATAAATTTATTTCAGGCTTGAATTTTTGTTTTTTGGGGGTTTCTGCTTCTCACAGCTTCTTTTTATTTTTTAAGTTTAGTTTTAGTAGAGGTTTTACGGCGCTCACAACTGCATAAGGTCATATGAGCGCCAAAAGATAAGAGGTGTTACAAGATAGTAACATACATAAAAAAGAAGAAGAGGAGATAAGGACGATAGATGTTTGACAGGAAAGAAGGAGCAAACCACACCAGAGCACCCGCCAACCGCCCACCTTCTTTTTTTTTGTCTTCAAGATAATGTGTATTGTGTGGATAAAAAAACTCAAGTCTTATGACGGTCTTGTTCTATTTGTCTATGCATCGTCATGAATGTTGTGTAAATATATGTATGTGTGATTGTGTGTGTGTGAGTGTGTGTGTGTTTGTGTGTATGTGTGTGATGTGTGTTTGTGATGTATGTCATAGTTTGATGTGAACACCTACACTTCATCATAGAAAGGATGTAAATATAAGTCATATTTGGTGTATTGTTTTCTGGACAAGCAGCATAATTATATGCCTTACAAAGGGCAAACAACAATTTTTTTTCTACATTAGATCTGTTTTGTTTGGATCTTACCAACGGGTGAGTGAGGGTGATTGGTGAGTGCTCTGATGTGGTTTGCTCCATCTTTCTCATCAAACATCTGTCGTCCTTATCTATCCTCCTTCTTTATTGTGTTTGTTACTCTCTAGTAACACCTCAAATCTTCAGCACTTATATGACCTAGTTGTGTCGCAAATGCCGTTAAACACTGACTAAAACTAAACTAAACTGATGAGTGGTTGGATGGTGCCAGTTGTAGGTTTAGCTACTTTTGTTTTTCCTTATTGTTTTTTTCTGTCTGCCTTATGTTCTCTTTGCACTGAATGACTTAATATGTCTTACTAAAATTGAAAATATTGCCTACAGTTGTTTGCCCTGGTGTGAGATCTACTACAAGCTTCTTGACTCACTGGCTGAGATCACGAACCGAGCGGAGAACTCGCGTGTCCTTGACTTTCTCAAGGTCACCCATGAACATGAGGTCCCCCTACCAAAGGTCCCAGTGACTATTGTGTCAAGAGAAGAGGTAAAATAATTTGGTTTTGATGTTTCCAGTCAGGTTGGAGGGTTCCTCGGGAAGGTTGCATTTCTTTACTCTCCCTCTGCGGTTTCTGTCAGTTGCTTTTTCCTAGTGCTAAATTACCATTATCTGATTTCACCTTACACTGCTAAACTAAGCTTTGTCAATGTTTCCAAGTCCCTACTGTTCATAGACAGTGCTTAATGTTCTCAGTGAAGAATATTGAAGGGCATTTGGTTTTTGATGTTTTCACTCTTTCTCTCCCATACACAAACACACATACACATGAGAAGATATGTAGGCAAAGGCATGCGCTCCGCTCACACAGGCGCACACATACACACACACACACACACTCACACACACACACACACACACACACAAACACACACACATTTGCACGCACACACTCTCTCACACGCGCACACACACACACACACAGAAACATATTTAGCACACATGCACTCACACATGCATATTGTTGCATACATACACGGACACATATCAACCCACACACATGCACACAATGAGAGATTCTCATTCTTTAAGACATACTGACTCTAACTCTAAGGTTGCTCTCCTGTCTTTGTTTCAGATGTTCAGCTTTACGACCCCTGACCCCAGCGTGTTACCCGGCATTCCTGCTAGTGTAAGTGCACTTCATATATCTTCACCATAGAAGGGCATGTGTGTGTGTTTGTGTGTTCTCTGTGCTTGTAGTGTGTGCATTCTCTCTTTATGTACAGAATTTGTGTGCATAGTATGTCTGTGTATGTGTGTGTATGTGTGTGTGTATAGTATGTCTGTGTATGTGTGTGTATGTGTGTGTGCATAGTATGTCTGTGTATGTGTGTGTATGTGTGTGTGCATAGTATGTCTGTGTATGTGTGTGTATGTGTGTGTGCTTGCGTGTGTGTATAGTATGTCTGTGTATGTGTGTGTGCTTGTGTGTGTGTATAGTATGTCTTTGTATGTGTGTGTGCTTGCGTGTGTATAGTATGTCTTTGTATGTGTGTGTGTATGTGTGTGTGCTTGTGTGTGTGTATAGTGTGAGTGTGTGAGTGTTTGTGTCCACCCACCTTGCCATAGTTTGAGATACATAGAGATAAAAAATCCCGACTTTCCCTTCCTTTTTATTTCAGAGAAACCTGACCGAGTATTACAATGCTGTTGATTCTTTCAACATGATGCTCATTTTTGCCAGGTAAAATTCTTTGTGAAAGTGTGTATTTGTCTGGACAGATATAAATGACAGGTGGTTGGAGGGCACCGCTGGTAGGTCCTACTCCTACTTCTTTACTTTCCTACTGTTATTTCTGTCTGTCTGTCTTACTTTTCCCAGCACTAAATGACCATTATTGTGTTGCTGTGCTTCTGTTTACTAAAACAAAGATATAGATGTTTTTACAGTTTTAACAATCCAGTTTTTGTGCAGGCTTTGTAAATTGTTTGTGTTAATGACAGTTGACTATGGGTAACCAGAAAAGGGGGGGGGGGGGGGTGTTGTGTGTGTGGGAGGGGGGGGGGGGGGGGTGTTGTGTGTGTGTGTGTGTGTGTGTGTGTGTGTGTGTGTGTGTGTGTGTGTGTGTGTGTGTGTGTGTGTGTGTGTGTGTGTGGGGGGGTGTTGTGTGTGTGAAATTATACTTTTTTTGTTTTCTAAGTTGATAAGAATTCTTCTCTTGCATGATGGCACTGACTTATATAGACTGTGAATGTCAAGTTGACACTGATGGTATATTTGTCTTGCTCTCTTACTTGCTCTGTCTCGCTCTCGCTGGCTCCCTGTCCCTTTTTCCTCAATCTTCCCGGCCTCTGCCCTTTCCCTCTCTTTCCCCAACCCTCTCCGACCCCCATCCCACCCCCCCAATCTCTCCTTCACTCATTATGTGCTTTATACTACAGGGTCCATGTGCATTGTACTGTTGAATATGTCAGACGGTCACCCATCGTGGAAAACTAAAGTGGCTGTCTTAGACAGGTGGACATCTTACATAATGTCATTGTAATGAGAAAAAAAAAGAAATGCAAGTATGGAAAGGGAAGTGGCCGTTAGTACAGGTGATTGTCTTATACTTTAACTGTATTTTATTCTGGTATCTATACCTCCCCCTCAAGCCGCCCCCAACCCCTTCCCTCTCAAACCTCTCTTTCACTCATTTCTCTCACTGTTCTTGCTATACTTCTCAGCATGCTCCATGAACGTCGTATCTACATGACCTCCCGTAAACTCAGTCGACTCACGGCCTGCATCCATGCTGCGGAGGCTCTGCTCTACCCCATGCACTGGTAAGACTCTGCATGCAGGGGAGGGGGTGTGGCATTAGACATTACTGGGATTGAAAGTTTGAGTGATGCAGGAGCGCTTATTGTTATCTAGAAACCAAAGAGAGAAGCCCACAAGCTGCACACATCCTCAAGTGGGAGTGGAGCCTTTTAATGTTCAAAATGTGGCAAACTTTTCTCTTGCAGAATTTGTCTCATTGGCCACAGTAAAAGCCACAAGTCATCGTAATCTTTAATTCTTCAAATTCTTCTATTTCACTGGAAGAATAGTCTCCTCTGCGGATGTATTGGTCATCGTCAGACTTTGAAGGAGGGGGTATATAATTATTATTACTATTATTATTATTATTATTATTTTATTTTTTAAAAGTTTTATTATTATTGTCATCAGAACATTGACACACACAGGAGCAGTTATTGTAATCAATCTGACACACGGGGGTTGTTATGGTGATCAGATCATTAACTTACATAAGGGCTATCATCATGACCATTGTTTTTGTATGTGTTCTTGTGGATAGTTTGGCGAGCGCCACTCTTTTTTTTAAAAATCGCTTTCATTGTGTCTGTCTGTCTGTCTGTCTTGCTTGTGTTTTCATGCATTAAACAGCCATTATTATGTGGATGTGCTTTTCTTTACTGAGTGGATGGTTGGCGGGTGCTCAGGTGTTGTTTGCTCCTTCTTTCCTATCGAATTCTTATCGTCCTGATCTCTACTCCTCTTTCGTGTTTGTTACTCTCTTGTAACATCTAATCTTCGGCACTTTTATGACCTTATTGTGTTGCAAGTGCCGTAAAACTCTTACTAAAACTAAAAAACTCTCTTTGCTGAAGCATAAAGCTGTTGTTCCTGTTTGATTCATTGTTGTTGGTTTGTACATTGTGTATACTGTGATATTGAGTATGCATTCTATACGCAATTGTAAGCCAAATTTCCCCTTTTGAATGAATGAATTAATATTTTTTCTTTCTTTGTTGTTTGTATCAGGCAACATCTGTACATTCCTGTGCTTCCTGCCCACCTCATCGACTACATCAGGCAAGTGGCTGTGTCCTAGTGGCGTTTATGATGTCACGTTTAGTTGCATTTTTCCTTCCCAAGCTCCTAACGTGCATGTTTATGCAGGCAGCTTTTTTGAGTCTGCATGTATTTGCATACGTCGGGGTGTGTGTACATCTGTGTGTGTGTGTGTGTGTGTGTGTGTGTGTGTGTGTGTGTGTGTGTGTGTGTGTGTGTGTGTGCTCAAGAGTAAGTGTGTCTATGTATGGACCTACCTTTGTGCAATTTAGGTTATGGCATTGTGGTTCAGATGCCATCTTTATTATTTTGAGATCTGAAGCTTGTGAATCGACAGAAGAATATAATGGTCTATTTTTAATTTGTTCTTCAAAGCGACTGTCATTGTCAGTGCCACACGCACATTTATCTTCATGGATTTTTGTTTTGATCATTTTGTTGATGTTTGGTTCTGTTTGTTTTTATCTCTCCAGTGCTCCAATGCCATACCTGATAGGCGTACATAGCAATTTATTAGAGGTGAGTCATATAGCTACTTACTTGTCTTACTTGTCCACTGTGCTGAGGTCACTGCAGTCGGAACATGTCCATCTCTGCTCTCCCCCCCCCCCCTCTTCAGGACCCATAGTCATATAGCTGTGTAGTATCAGGTTACCTGGTTGTGTAGAGTGTTGTTTCTGTATGTTCGTCTTGCTCTTTCTAGGCAGTAAATAGCCCTTACTTTGTCAATGTACTAACCTCAAGTTTTTGAAAGTGTAGTATGCGCTTGTCATTGATTAATATTTGAGTGACATTGTGGTGAAAATGAGCACTTGTCAAAATATGATATGGAAAAAAAAAATGTTCCCACCCATTGGGCAATTTTGGTAGAATTTGTATTTTTAATCTCAGGGCCTTGTATTGCTCACATACATATATTTCTGTTTGGATTCTACTGAAAACGTTGCTCAAAGGCACAAAAATGTAAATTTGTCTTCTCCAACTATATTCAAGCTTTGTAAGTCACCAAACTTAGGCAGCCATTTTCTCCCTAATTTTACCTAGGCACCCTCACACTCAGTCATGAATATTACAAGAGGGGGTTGTTTGGACAGGAGTTTTCTTGGACAGGTGGTCTTTAAGGAGGTCCCATTATATTTAGAACTTCAGTCATTTCTTTTCACTTCCTTTAACCAGCATTCAACCATAGCTGCAGCTATGACATTGTACTGCATGCGACAGTATCTATTCCACAACCAAGTAACCAAGGAAGTAAGCATTTTGTGACGATGTGGCTACATATGTCATCATCCGAGCTTTTAAGATAGTGTAGACCTGTACCCCTGAAACACCCGCGCATCTGTCTTGTAATGGGAAGACTCTTCCGAGCACAATGAGAAAATATTTTCATTTCATGAGTAGGGAAGTTGTTTGATCAAATGTCTGTCTGTCAGTCCTGTTCTTTCCCAGCACTGACTGACTGTTCTTGTTTCAATGTGTTACACTTAAGCCTAGACGCAAAAACCAAAAATCTCTGACCTCCTCAGAAACTCACGTTGAACCGGGTGGATATCGGTGATGCTGTACTAGTGGACTTAGACAGTAACACCGTGGCCACTTGCTACGATGACCTCGGTGACCTGCCCAGTGATGTGGTGAGAAACCAACTCCTTTTTTTCACCTTTGGCTTTGGGTGGCATTTCTATGAGTAGACCATAAAGTTACAAGAAGTTAGATTACTTTTTAAAAATCACAGGATGATTATATTTGCAGCCTCCAGAATGACTCATTTCTATCTGTTTCTGAATATCAGTTAATAATGGCTTCTTTTAACTTTAAAATTGTGAAGATTATGAGTACCCCCTCAAACTATGTCCTGGCTGTCAGCTGGAGGTTTTTATTGCCTTTACGTGTTGATAGCTGTTGCTAATGTCTGTGACACTCATTGCAGTTCCAACCGCAACTTGTATTTTTCAGTCGAGTTACCTGAAGAAAAACCTGAAGACGGACGTGGTGAAGAGTTCAATGGACGCCATCTCAAAGGCTTTCCTGCAGTCTCTGGTCAGACTTATAGGTGGGTGACTTTCTTGTTGTAGGAGAGAGAGAGAGAGATAGGTGGATGAGTGTTAAGCTGTTGATGTGTAAGGACTGTCCTTGGAAACATCTTCATTTTACTGTGATAATGATAATGTCAGACTAACGCCAAAATGACACTGCCCTATAATCACCACCACATCATAAAATGGTAAAAATGCAGCAGCAAATTTTTTTCAATTTGTAACAAAGGAAACCATGCGAGTTCTTTTTCAATGTGCTCTCAGCAATGTGTTACTTATCGTTGTGCTTCTATGGATCGTGTTGATAGCTTTTGCAGGATATTAGTAACCTACTTAATACGGGTTTCTATTTTTTTTTCTCATTAGGCTCCACTTCCATTTACCCTACCCTATTTTTGGGTTCCTCAAAAGAATGAAATGGGCATGAGTGCCAATGTGTTTTTGTTTTACTCGGTTACGCATGATAAGCAAAAAGTTTACTAGGTTTTTTGAAGCATACCTCCTGAAACATGATTATTATATTGATCTGACTTTTTTAATTTGATCAGATATGCTATAGTGTCAATGAGTTTCTTAAGATTTTGAGCCATCAAAACTATGATAATTTGCTTTTTTTTATATCTTGAACAAATGAGCAAAAATATTTCAGGGCATTATAAGATACAAAGCGAGCTGTCATCAATATGTCTGTTTGCTTTTCCTTTTCCCTGAACCAACACTGGATTCTCCGCAGGTGGCTATCGAGACGCTCTGAAGTTCCGGGATGGTGAACCCATCACCTTTGACCCTGAAGCATTTGTACAGTCGAGGCAGTCACAGAGGACGCAAGCCTTTCTCGAGGGAATGCTGACACTGCAGATATTCCAGCAAGTAAGTGCAAGGAGTTTCTTTGTTCATCCTCACTATTGTTTGGACTGAAAGTTTCTACTTCTTTGCTCTTGATTTCCCCC